TGGACCACCAGGGAAGTTCCAAACCTCCCAATGTTTGAATTGACAACACTTCTTTGCTTTTAACACGTCTACAGACTGAGGTGGCAAGTGGCCAGATGCCCAGACCCTGCTGGTTCAGGCCTGGAGGATCCCCTCTGACCAGCCCTCCACGCCCCTGTGGGGGACCATCCCTCCCTCCCTTATCACTCCTCTGGCCCCTGTGACAGCATGCCTTGCTTGTAAAGGTCAAAGCTAATAAACGGGGTGATGGGTATTTCCTGGGCTTCCCAGAGCCTAGGCAAAGCCCTGCCTAAGCTTTTAACTTCTCTTGTCATCATTCCGTGCTCACCACCAATTCCTGGTGTCTAGTTTTGCTTCCTGGACCCTTTGATCCGACAGGCAGGGTGCCCTGATTAAGGAAGAGCACCGCCCCCTCTTGGGAAGGGACGGGCTGGCAGTCTGCTCTATACAACTGCCCTGGGTGTGCCTAGTTACGGGGACCATCGCCTAGAGACTGAGTGTCTCGAAGTGCGCTGACAACTCCAGGGTCCACGCCTGCAAAGAAGGTGCTAGAAGTCTCCCCAACTCTGCCTGGAAATCTGCAGGTCCTGGTGCCCTGGAGGGGCACCCATCTCCAGGATGGACTTGCCTGTAGAAAGGGGAGACCCTACAGAAAGGACACCCTCTGAGCCCACCTACATCCCTGCTGCATCCGTTCATCCCTTCAACCGGTCAGTCCCCTTCCCCACCGCCCTTGCCCTGGTGGGGAACTGGGGCCCTGGGCCCCCCCGAGGCGACACCCTCACCTGCAGCATAAACATCACACCTGCTACCCACCTGGCCCAGAGCAAAGCACTGTGAAGCAAAGCCCCAGGGCAGGCGGGGAAGCCCCTGGGCCACTATAATGCCTACACAAAGTCTCTGCTGCAGTCAGGCGACTGGGAAGAGGTCGGGATGCAGGGCTACAGCTTGAGGCAGAGGGGGCAAAGGGCGGGCGGAGGTGTGGCTGGAGGGGATGGAACCCGCCGGGACTCAGGAAACCTGAGGAGGGCGATGGGAGAGGAGAAAGACCCAGTGGGTCAAGGCAGGGCGCTGGGGAGAAGGTGGGGAGGGGACGGGAAGGGAACAGGGAGAGGCAAGTGGGCGGGTCCACAAAGAACGGAGAGTTGGAGGGGCCAGGAGTCCAGGCTTCGGGCAGGCAGAGCTAGTCATCAGCTTTGAAACTGCCCAGTGAACTAGGCAGCTCCTAGCAGACTCCCCGTTATTGCCTCTGGGTCTCCCCACGTGTCGGCCCGAGAACCCACACCCCAAGGGCTCAAAGGAGAAAAACCCGGGGCAGGGGCCTCCCTAATGGCAGAGTGGAGCCTGCCTCAGCTAAGCTTCTCTGGGGTCAGGGGTCAGTGCCCACCCTGCGCCAGGCGCAGTTGACAGACTCACTGCCCCCATGACCCTCGCAACACCCAAAGGATGCGTTTCCCCGTTTGACAGAAAATCAAGGCTCACGGAGGGAAAGTGATTCGCCCAGAATGCATCTGAGGCTGCTCCATCAATTAGCAAGCCTTACGGACCAGTCCCTGCTCTTAGAACCGGGCATGCGGGGGTGAAAGAGAGACAGGCCTAGCACTCAACTGTGTGCTGTACTTTAGAGAGGGAAACGGACAAATAGAGAAGATCAGCTAAGGATCAAGAAAATACGAAGGCCCACAACACTGTAAATCAACTATATTTCAATAAATTTAAAAAAGAAAAAGAAAAAAGCAATGAATGAGACAATATATACAAAAAAAAAAAAAAGAAAGGAAGAAAACACGAAGGTAACAGGGTCAAGCGTGTGTGGGATGCTACTCTGGCTGGTGAACTCAAGGGAGGCCCTTGAAGAGGTGACAGCCTGCCCAGCAGACCCCCAAGGGAAGGCCTGTCACACAGAGGGAACCATGAACACAGCATCCCTGAGACTGGACAGAGCTTCCCGTCCAGGGCACAAGCGGGCATGTGCAACTGGAGCTGAGGGCAGAGGGGTGGGCCTGCAGAGAGAGGGGACGGGAAGCTGCAGGACAGAGGCTGAGGGTGGAGGCAGGGTGGCCCAGCAGGAGGCTGTTACGCAGGCCTCCACGTTAGAGGTGATGGGCCTAGAGCTGGGGAGAGGATGGTGGACCAGGGGTGCAAGGGAAGAGACAGGAGGAGGATGTGGGCCTGAACTGGGGAGGCTGGGGAGGGAGCAGAAATGAAGGGGACGCAGATTTTGACCCTAAAACCCAAGCATCTTACCCCTGACGGGGACTTTGTCTCTTTCTCCTTTGTCCCTCACTAGCCAGGCCAGCGGGTACAGAGTAGGTATACAATTAACTCATTCATATATTCAATTAATATTTATTGAGCACCTACTGTCGTGCCTGGCAAAGTCCTTGCTCCTGTGGTGATAGAGGGGAGGGAGAAGAGAATGAAGGATCTTTGTTTCAGGTGCGGTGGTCACCGCAGGCTTCTCTCCGACCTCCTTGGGGGAGTGAGGTGGTGAGTCTTAGCTGTGAATATCTTGAAGAAGTACATTTCAGGGAGAGGAAGCAGCAAGTACAAAGGCCCGGAGATGGGAGGGTGCTCACTGAGTTTGTTGATTCATTAATCGGTACCTGTGCCCTTGCCTTGGAACTTTCTAAGATCAGTGCCTGGGTCTTTCTCATCAGACAGGAGCGGTCAGAGGGGTGAGTAGGGGCCACGTCCTCCTTTTCTTTACACAATTCCTCTTTCCCCAACACTGGCCAGGCCTAGAAGCAGGACAGGTGGAGGAGAAAAGGCAGAGACAGTCAAGCAAGAGGGTGGGTTCTGTGCTGTCCCACTACTCACCCCCAGGCTGTTCCTGGTTTTAGCCCCTGAAGGTCCCA